TTTTTTGAGATCTTTAAAGTATGACAATGGAACTTTAATAGGGATTGCATTGAAATTATATATTGCTTTAGGTAATATAGACATTTTAACAATATTAATTTTTCCCAGCCATGAGCAAGGTATGTTTTTCCATTTGTTAGTATTTTCAGCTATTTCTTTTCTTAGAGTTTCATAGTTCTCTTTATAAAGATCTTTCACATCCTTTGTTAGGTAAACATTAGAAGAAAGTGTAGGGAAAACTCTTGAAGAAATAGGCCTGGGGGAAAATTTTATGAGGAGGACCTCCCAGGCAATTGAAGCAACATCAAAAATATACTACTGGGACCTCCTCAAATTAAAAAGCTTCTGCACAGCCAAGAACACAGTAAGAAAAGTAAGTAGACAACCCTCAGAATGGGAAAAAATATTTGCTGGTTATGCTTCCGACAAAGGTCTTATAACCAGAATCCACAGAGAACTCAAGCGTAGTAGCAAGAAGAGAACAAGTGATCCCATTTCAGGGTGGGCAAGAGACTTAAAGAGAAACTTCTGTGAAGAAGACAGACGCATGGCCTATAGACATATGAAAAAATGCTCACCATCCTTAATCATCAGAGAAATGCAAATCAAAACCACTCTGAGATATCATCTAATGCCAGTTAGATTAGCCCATATCACAAAATCCCAAAATCACAGGTGCTGGCGGGGTTGTGGAGAAAAGGGAACACTACTACACTGCTGGTGGGAATGCAAACTAATACGTCCCTTTTGGAAAACCATATGGAGAACACTCAGAAATCTAAATATAGATCTAGCATTTGATCCTGTAATTCCTCTGTTAGGTATATATCGAGAAGACCAAAAATCACGCTACAATACAGATATCTGTACCAGGATGTTCATTGCAGCCCAATTCACAATCGCCAGGTCATGGAAGAAGCCCAAGTGCCCACCGACCCATGAATGGATCAATAAATTGTGGTATATGTACACCATGGAATACTATATAGCCACAAAGAAAGATGGAGACTTTGCCTCCTTCATGTTTACATGGATGGAGCTGGAAAATGTCCTCCTTCCATCCTCAAGAATGGAAGAAAAAGTATCCAATGTACTCAACACTATTATGAAACTAATTGTTAGCTATCTTAGGAAAGCTATAATCCAAATGGAGTCCAAGACTATGGGGAAAGGGGAGAGGGAGGGGAGGGGAGG